ATGGATGTTCTCAAGGAGCATAGTAGTAGTAATGGATGTTCTCAAGGACACCATGTCAACTTGGAGGTATGGTAATGGTGCAATAGTTATGTACAGAACAGTCCTTATTTTACATTACTTTGGAGCCTGAAATATTTGGGATGAAATATCTATATGTGAAAAGACGAGGAAATAAGGCAACATATTCATCATTGTGAAAGCTGAGTGACAAAAGGATGCATCTTGAGTGTACTACTCTTTCCACTTTCTGTATATTTGAAAATTCTCATACTAAAGAATACAATACAAACACCTGTATGATACAAGTGGGAAAAAATGTGTAAAAATCAATGTACCAGTGGTGTGGTACTAGAAGGTTCTGAGCCCAATAAGTCATCCCTGCCCTCAAGTGAAAAGTTACGAAGTCCTCAGCCAGGTGGCCACAGAGAAGCCCTGTTTAGAAAGAAGCTTGGATGGACAGGTGGTGGGTTTCCATGTATCTGGTGAGGAGGAAGGGGGACCCCAAGATGGCTGAGGTTTGGACAGGGGGTGTGGGAGGAGAACGGGAGTGTGCTACGATGGTAGATGACTTCCCAGGCAGAGAGAGTGCGGGACGAGAAGGTCTGGCCATCTGTTGCTCACTGGTAGCTTCAGAGGCTGAATCAATCAAGATGGGCTTCTGACCGACTCTGAGAGAGTGCAGAGCGACAGGGTGCAGAGGAAATGATAGGCAACATAATTTGGGTGTTTATTACATGAGAGGGCTTCAAAAAGGTTGTGGGGAAGATCCATTAACTTCCAACTCCATTTCCCCCCCAAACTCCTTGAAGCCTTCTTGTATATGTAGTAGTGTTCTAAATACTTGGCATGTGTGATCCTCACAACCCAGGAGGGAAATGGAGGTACAGAGAGACTGGATGCCTTGTCTGAGGTCGGGCAGCTGGGGGACAGCACAGCTGGGGTGACAAAGCAGGCACTTCAACTGAGCCAACCAACTTTAAGTTAGCCAGGAGACGTGGTGGTGGAGGAATCAAACTCAAGAAGGACAGGCTTGCCTCTCCCTCCTTTAGGGCAGAAAAGCAGCAGAGAGGAAGGAGCAAAGGGCAGAGGCTGCGCAGAAATGGTAACCAAGACAAGGAAACTGAGCACGCTTAAGACGTCAGTCGGGTGGGAAAGAGGGTCACCGACAGAGAACGACAGGCACGGAGTTTGGAAAAGACTTTGAAGAGTGAGTGACTTGCTGGCCCTGAGATTGCTTGAAGTGGAAGCAGCGCCCGAGCCATGGTGTCTGGCTGTGAAGTACTACAGCTTCAAGTGCTCCAGTACTTGGTATTTTGTCACATGTCCACGTGCAAGAGCTCAAATAAGGAGACTCACGGATGCCAGGAGAAACTTCCAGGACGGCCATGAGAGTGCCGCATGCTTCCAACATGCTTGCACAGAGAGCCGTCTCCAAGGATGCCAGGGCTTCTCTGAGTCTAGTGGGGACTAGAAAACAGGGTCAGCGAGGAGAACGGTCCGTCTTTGTTGGGCAGCCAGAGACTTCTCATTTACAAAAGAATGTGAAGAGGCTGTGATGTAACAAGAATCAACGATGAGTCATGCACTTCTGTTGGCTTGATAGCATCAATAAGCAAGAGACGGCTCTTAGGTCTCTCAATGTGACTGGGGGAAAAAAATACAGTCCTGAAACTTCTGTGTGGAAGGGCCCAGAAACATCACTGTGGAGACTACGCTCCAATAGGAAGACATTTGAGAAAGTATGCGCAGTATGTTCAAGTTTGCACCAGCACCAGGACATAGCCCTCTCAGCTAAGAACACAAACGGATGCTCCATGAACAAGTAAAAATAAAGTTCAAGTGTGGGCTGGCAGTTCAGTTTATCCATAAGAGTAGGATATGGACCTGCCAAGCAGAAATACATACATACATATATATATATATATATACACACATACATACACACACACATATATATACACGTGCATATATACATATATATATATATTCAAGTGAATACACACACACACACCACAACACATTTTTAGCTAGAAATGTTCCTTTTCTACTCACTGTCATTGTTAGAGCCCGTTTCCATAACACCATAAGGAGGAGCCAGGAGTCCCGCCATATACTGTCGGTATTTCTGAAAGACAAGATTGTAAACTCAATACACAGGTATCTACTCACTTGGAGCATTCAGTCATTTACGCGTCAACAAGCAGAAGTGCCGGGTGAGAGGAAGCATCTCAGAGAAGCTTACAGAGCCATGGAGCGCTCGCTCTCTGGGCACCGCAGGATGAAATACAGAGAAGACTGTGCATCTTCCCCTATCCTCAGCCCCTTCATTTATGTATTTGACACTGATTGACTGAATTGTGGAGGCTTTTAACCCTCCTTCCACCTGCTGTACAAACCGCCCCCGCCCCCACCTCGGGAATACATGCTCAGCTCTTTCTAGAGGGAAAAGGCACTTGGTTTCCATAGACGCAGATACAAATACAGCTCTGCTTTCTTAATAGGTGAATGAGAGTGAATCAGCTTCTTTCAAGGCAAAAAGAAACACATCCCTAGAAAAAAAAGTATTTGCCTGAAAGCCACTGATTTGATCCCATTTACCTTTTTCCTTTTACATTGTAGACCTGTCTGTTAGGTGACCTCCAAATGACTTTTTGGGGGGTGGTAGGTGGGGCGGGGGGAGGGTGTATTGTCAAAACAGTTTGGCATAATGTCATACTCTTTTCCCTCCCCTGGATTATATTCCACTCACTTCTAGTCCAATCATGCTCCAAAATTTGGGGCCCAGTGATATGTGTTAGCCCCCGGAGTTTGTACTACACGGGAAGGATGAAGCTCGGCACACACCTGCAACACACCGGCATGCAGCAGGGAACCAAGAGAGAGGGCTGCAGGGCTGCCCACCATTCCAACTATGTGGAACCCCGCCCCCCCCCCAGAAGAATGCACCTCAGAGGACAGCACTCAAGCTACAGCTCAGGGAGAGGGGCGAGTCTGATGAGAGCACACAGGAGCAAACACAAAGGGAAGGAGAGAGTGGAACACATCCTGGCCCACCAAGCCCTGAGGACGATCTCCCTGCTCAGAGCAGCCAATGCACAGAGAGAGCCATAGACAGACACGACATCCCTAACTGACCCACAGTGCTACGGGGGACAACACTGGAGGCACACTGCGGGAACTGTGCCCAATCTGACCACACCACACCAGGGTGAAACACCAAGGGCCTACCACAGAGCATCAGGGGAAGCAGAGCAATAAAGCCCTCAGGGAATGCCAAAAATAGACTTTGGGGCCAGGGCGTGACACTCCATCAGACTCAACCAGAAAACACCCCTAAAGGTCAACAAACAGACCTGGAACTATTTATAGGATTTTCTTTTTGTTGTTATTATTGTTGTTTTTTCATTGTTTTGTTTTGCTCTGTCTTGTTTTTATGCTTATTATTATCTCCGCAGGTCTATCTAGATAAGACAGGCAGGATAAACAATCCGGAGGCAAAAACAACAGGATTGACAGTTGGGGTGGGGGAGGGTACACAGGAGAGGGGGAGGTAGGGGAAAGGAAGTGAGTGTTAGCAAACTCAGGGACAAGGGAACAACAAGTGATCTAAAATTGATGGCAAGGGGGAGTGTAAAAGGCCTGGAAGGGCTTGATCAAGGACAATGTAGTCAAGAGGAATTACAGAAACCTGAATGAAGGCCAAACATGATAGTGGGACAAGAGGAAAGTAAAAAGAAAATAGAGGAAAGAACTAGAAGACAAAGGATAATTAAAAAAGTCTAAATACAGGCATGTACATATGTAAATATATTTATATATGACTATGGGGAAATAGATCTATATACATATATTTATAGGTTTAGTATTAAGGAAGCAGATGGACATTGGGCTTCCACTCAAGTACTCCTTCAACACAAGAACACTTTGTTCTAATAATCTGGCATTCTGAGATGCTCACCTTCCAAACACGATCACTGAAGACAAAGTGGGTGCATAACTAAATGTGAAGAAAGCTGATGGTGCCCTGCTATCAAAAGATATAGCATCTGGGGTCTTAAGGGCTTAAAGGTAAACAAGCGGCCATCTAGCAACAAAGCCCACATGGAAGAAGCACACCAGCCTGCGTGATCATGAGGTGTTGATGGGATCAGGTATCAGGCATCAAAGACCCAGAGCAAAAGATCATAATGTGAATGAGGTGAGGAGTGCGGAGTGGAGGCCCAAAGTCAATCTGTAAGCAATGGGATATCCCCTTACAGAAGGTCGTAGGGAGAACATGGGCCAGTCAGTGTGCAGTGTAGCACCGATGAAACATACAGATTTCCTCTGGTCCTTTAATGCCCCCCTGCCCGTCTATCATTACCCTAATTCCACCTTACAAATCTGGCTAGACTAGAGCATGTACATGGGTATAGATAAGAGCTGGAAACACAGGAAATACAGGACAGATAAACTCCTTGGGTCCAATATTGAGAGTAGCCATACCAGAAGGGTAAAGGGAAGGTGGAGGGAGAAAGGGGGAACCGCTCACAATGACCTAACTATAACCTCCTCCCAGGAGGATGGACAACAGACAAGAGGGTCAAGGGAGACATCAGATAGTGCAAGACATGAAAAAATATAGGGAGGGAAGGAGGGAGGGGGAAGGAGGAGGGAAAAAATGAGCTGATACCAAGGGCTCAAGCAGAAAGAAAATGCTTTGAAAACAATGATGGCAACATATGTACAAATGTGCTTGATACAATGGATGGATGTGTGGATTGTGATAAGAGTTGTACGAGCCCCCAATAAAATGATTTATTAAAATAAAAAAATAAAAAGAAGTAGTACAGTCTCCTCATCCTCTTTCAGATTGACAGCTTGGAATTTTCCTTCTTGCCCGGGGCCTTGTACATTTATGGTGCGTGGTTGTGAATGAAACACATACTTGCTGAATAGCACTCAAGCATCAGCGGCCCATACTGTGCCCTGGGATACAGGCATGTCAGCAAAAAGGCTTCATCTGCAGCAATGGGCAGCTGGCAACCATCTGGCCCATTTGGTGGATTTGAATGGTGTGTGTAACGCAACATTAATGTTTCTTCTAGTCAAGAAGTAACTAAAAAAAAAGAAAAAGAAACGACTAGTTGTTTTTTATTTTTAATCCCCTTTTCTGTACTTTCTGAGACAACTACACCAACACCTGCTCCTACACAAATGTTTCTTTTAAAGCCCTGAATTTCTTTCCTGAAGCATCCCCTATCATCCTGCGTTCTTGTCATTTTCTTCGTTGATTGTACGGTTCTTCTTTCATGGAACACCATCTACTCTTCTTCCTCGTGATGAATGTACACTGATTATAGACGTTTCTGGGCAAACTCAGTGGAAGGCAACAGGCACAGGGAAAGAGCAGGCAGAAGCCGGTAGGCTCTGAAACCCTGTGGCCTTTTGAGCCTTCCTCTCAGCACTGACAACTCCCTCACAGGCTCCTAGAAGAAATAGCTGCCAAGTTCAAGGGCTGAGTTCACTTTGTTTCGATGCCATGCTTCAGATGCAATGGATGCTCTTTGTCCGAAGCCCCGTAGTCTCTCTCGATTTCCATGATGCCTGGTACCTGGACTTCACTGCTTCACTTTTCCTCCCAGACCTCATGCATGGCCTTGAGCTGCTGCTTCCCCTGGCGCACAACATCATTCGGGCTGCTATGCACTGGAGTAGAAAAGAGCACTTTCCCTAGGCTCATGCAGACCAAGGGGAAGCAGAGTGTGGGCTGGACTTCCAGACCTGGTGTTCAAATCCACCAACTGCTCCTCAAGAGAAAGATGAGGCCACCTGTTTCCACAATGACTTACTGCCTTAGAAACCCCATATGGGGTCATTATGACCAGGGTTGGCTGGATGGCACTGGTTTTTTGGGGGGGTGTTGGCAGTGGTATGCACCCTGGTATATGTGATGAGCACCTCCAACACACTAGGCACTGTCCTAGGTTCACCGTGGAGAGCAACTAGGAAAGGTCTCCTAGGTTTCAGAAGCTTCTGTCTCCAACAACGCAGGGCCCTGTGTCTTGTACATAATAGGAATGCAATACTTCACTGCTGAGTTTGAAAATGGAGCTTTGAGATGAAAACTTTTTAAACTATACAAATATGAACAGACCAACACAATGAACAACCACAATCCCAAACATCCAGTTTCAGTAACCCTTAGCTCCTGGCCATCTCCTGGCCCTTGCCAGGATGATTTTGAAACCACTCCCAGATACCCGAGCTTTGAATTCATAAATATTTCAGTAGGGATCACTAAAAGATAGGGAAATGCTGCTGTAAGAACAAATTGCAACTACAAAACTCAGCCACCTTACTGTCCTATCTTGTCTGTGTTCAAATTCCTTGCTGATTACCAACGCCACTGCTGAACTGAATTTAACATGTCGGTGATAACCTACTGCCCTGAGATACTCTTCAAACCTTGAACAGAGACTTTTCCCTGAAAGAACCTTTTAACTAAATAGCAGGATCCCTCAAAAACTCAAGAATTGCACCCTTGAGAATTGTGGTCTTTTAAAAATTATCTAGATGAGACAAACTGGGCAGCAGTCACTCTAGTCTGGAGCATACGTGAGATGGTTGAGGGCTGAGGAGAATTAGAGGGCGTGGACCGAGTAGCACAGAAATAATGAGAATGTTGACATAAACAGACGACTGTCACCAATGTCAGTGAACATTATGTGCAGAAACTGCCGAATGAGAACTTGTGTGCATTCACTCACCGAAAATACAGAGGGGAAGGACAACAGAATTGTGGGGGAAGGGAGGCAGCAGTCAGTGTAAGATATGAAGATATCAGTAATTTATAATTTATCAAGGAGTCAGGCAGGTGGGAGGGTAGGGGAAGGAGGGAAAAAAGTGAAGCTGATACCAAGGGCTCAAGAAGAAAGAAAATGTTTAGAAAATGATGATGGCAACATCTGCACAAATGTGCTTGATACAATTGATGAATGGATTTTACAAGAGCTGTAAGAGCCCCTGATAAAATGATTTTTTTAAATAAAATGATTAAAAAATGTATATAATAACCTATTATGAGGAAAACACACATAGTCTATTCAATAAGCCAACACAGATTCTGGCATAATAATGAGCTTT